TAGCATACATTATACGAAGTTATACGAGGGACCCCCACTGACCGCCGCCTCCGGCTCCCCCTCGGAACAGGGGACTGGGCGGCCTGAGGGGCTGCACCTCCCCTCCCCAGCCCCCACCCTGCCTCCCACCCCTTCCCGGCGGGTTTCCGCACCGCCTGGGAACCGCGAGTGCCCCATTAGTGACAACCTCCTGGCACCTCTCAGTCCCAGCACTTCAGGGTGATGGCCCGTACTGACAGCCACATCCTCCCACGAGCTATGTACAAAGACCCCAGCCCCCGCCCGCGACCCACCTCCCCCAGACCCTAATGGCCTTGAGGACTTCTGCCTTCACTGGGGTCGAGTGTGGCCCGCAGGGGAGGGACCGACTGCCCTCAGGTGGGAGGCTGGTGGTCCCAGAGTCCTTCTGCTCCTCCCCTTTGTGGGGCACAGGGCCAAGCTCTGCTGCCTGCCCTCCTGAGCCAGCCTGGGAAAGAAAGGAGTTCCCAGCTGTCTCCTCTGAAGTCAGCGCCAGAGCTGAGCCCCTGGGTGGCTGCACGCTACCGTGGTGAGCCATCCCTTGCACAGACATCTAGCCAGCAGCATTTCCTCCATCGGACTTGTGGGTTCTTCCTCAACACCTTCAGGCTGCAGGCAGCAGGGGGATGGGGGCCCAGCTGTGGCTGCCCCTTGACAGGCAGGGGCTGAGGCTACGAACAACCAGCAGCCCAGAAGGAACAGCTGGCTCATCTGCTGGTGGGGGGGGGGGACACACTGGACCCAGTGGTCTTGGTGGGCAGCACAGAAGAGGGCCCCAGACCTTTCCCAATTTCCAGAAGTCAGCAGAGAAGGGTGAGTGGCCAAGTAGGAGACCCCAGCCCCAGGCCAGGCCCACAGGCAGAGCTGTCCAAGAGATGAAGCTGGGGGTCCCTTCCCAGGGATCCCTGGCCAACGCCTTACCCTCCTCTCAGGTAAAAGTGTCACCTCCAGGGACAAGAGGCCAATTCTGGCATCTCCCAAGCACACTGTTGAAGCCTCAACCCCTCAGGAACTGCCTTCAGCCCTCAGGCATCCGCTGGTGAACCAGCTGCCATGGCTGGGTGGTGGGGACCACATGGCACAAGACCCATGTTGCACCATGCCCCCCTGGAACCCGTGTGTTGAGCCCCGGATGTGACCTGCACCCAGCATGTGTCGGGAAAAGCAGCCCCCACATCCCTGGGGCACAGGGAGGGGTGGGCAAGTGCCGTGGCCCAGGAGACCCCTCCTCACAGGCAGGGCACCCTGCTTTTCTGTCACCTGCATCCTGATCCTTTAAAGCCTGAATGCGGAGAGCTCCTACAACGTGTCTCCCTGTGGCTGCAGATGGACTGGCCCTTCAGCTGTCCTACAGGCAGACAACACAGTGAAGGGAAGGCTCCTTGTTCCCATCCCCAGGCAGCTTCAGAACGAGCCCAGAGCCCAGCAAGTGAGAAGTGGGAACAGCCCCCATCAAGCCTGGGGCTGGGGGGCAGGCTCCGTACCAGTCACCAACTCTGCCCTCAGCACCTCCTCCCCCACTTTTCCCCAAGTGAACACCAGAACCACCTGGAACACAACCAAAAGGATCCTACCCTTAGAGTCGTCCCTGACGAGCTGCCCCCAGGAGGGGAGGCTCAGGCCCAGCTGCTGGCTCTCATCACCCCCTGCCCAGGCCCCAAACCAGACACCCCTGGCCCCGGAGAACTGGTGAAACACAAGACCGCAGGCCCCGGGGCACAGCCTCCCACCAGGCAGCCCCAGACCTCTTGGCTGCATCTACTGGGGACTAAATCCTCAGGGGCAGGCAGCCCGTGAGAACTTCCTCAGGGGAGAAGCAGAAGGCCCCTGAGCACGCAGGAATTGCTTTTCTGCAAGGTCGCTCTCCACAAGCTTTTCTCCCTTTATCAAAACAGACTTTACAGCACAGTCTGCTCAAGCGTCCAGCTGTGCAGGCCAGTGGACATACGCATGCCCAGGGGGCAGTCAAGGACATCTGACTGCCCCCATCAGTGACTCCAGACAAGCTGGGGGAAACCGGATTCTTCCAGGGAAGAGTAATGCAGAACAACGGTCAGAAGCACTTGGTCTAGTACAACAAAGATCACCTTTTATTCTGGGTCAGGCAGTGCAGTGCACGCTCTAGGCACTGCAGGACCTACCTCCACCACTGACCAAGGGTCGCTAAAATTTGAGAAAAGAAATAGCACACGTTAAGTAAACTCCGTATTTGCTAATGTTCCACCTCCCTAGAGCCTCAGGGAGTATCAAGGCTTTGGCACACATGCTGACAGTCGCAGAGTGCCCTCCAGCCCAGCCATGGACCAGGGCAGGGCTGGCATCCAGCACAGGAGGGGAGCAGGGGCTGAGGACTTCCCCCAGCTGCTGCCACACACAGGCCCCTGCTCAGCCCACAGCTCCAGGCCAGGCAGACTGAGGGCCCTAGCAATGGGGGTCGCTGTCAGGACCCACTTGTCAGTACCAACACAGAGTCTCCTATGGCTGAAATGCTGTCCCCAGGCTAAGCAGGTGTGACCCCTGCCCATACACCACCTTGACTGAGCTGCCAGAGATGGACATGCCAACACATAGATACAACATCACGAAATTTAGGAACAAAGATATAATGAAAGGTCTTTTTTCACAAGAGTGGGTTAAATACATACATGTGGTAAATTATAGAGAGATTTTAAATAAACTGATCAAAACACAATGGCAAAGATGTGCACACATGCGGGCTGCACTTCGGTCCCATGGCCCGCCCCTGGAACGAGGGTGGTCTTGCAGCTTCAGTGGGCCTCCTGGTGCTGCTGATGCGCAGCTGTGTCCACCACTGGACACAGTGTCCCTGCCTTGACCTGGTGGCTCACAGGTTTTTCAAGCGATGTGATGCACTCTCAAACTATCCGGTGTGGGTGACGTTATTAAACACAAACGTAGAAAAGGGAAGATGTCCACAATCCAGGGAGTCATGGGTCCCAAAACTGAGACCGCGCAGGCTTATCTTCCGTGCAGAGAGAATACCCAACACAGACAACTGCACAGGAGCATGTCAGCCTATCTTTAAGGTAAATGAAAGCACTTGGACCAAATGTGAGGGAAGCCCCAAAGTGTGCAGAAGCAGTCTGCCTGTCGAGGGGGACCCCTCCCGGGATCCAGGGTCTCTACCCTCCACCAGCACAGGAGGATGATGGACTTCCGAGCCAACTACATATAAAGAATTCAGAGAGAAGGCTCTGCAGGTAGCCGAGAACCGCCAGCAGCAGCCAGAGGAGCTGGGAGGAGGCCCTCCAGGGGATGGGGTGGGTGGGGGCACTGACAGGGCCTGACACCTGAACGAGGTTCAAACTGCCTCTTCCACTCCCGCAGCTGCTACAGTAAAGGACGACCCCTTGTGGTCAGAGAGTGAGTACATCCTTAACTTCTGTAGCAAAAAAAAAAAAAAAAAAAGCTCTTTCTAGAAGGAATTTGTTTCATTTTAACTGACCATAAACACATTTTAAAATACTGACACCAAATCCCATCTCTCCCGGATCCCCAACCATGGCTGTCACTGGCCAGCCAACCCTGCCAACTAAGCCTTGTCACGACACGCCTGGCTCGACACGCACTGCCGCCTGGCCTTCAGCTCCTGCCTGCAGACAAGCCGGGGAGCCCCACTAAGAACGCACACAGAGTATCTGGTAGGCATTGAGTTTTATATTTTTAAGTGACCAAATCTAATAAAATGAAAAACAGATTTACTAAAATGGGTCCAGAAGACAACACAGGATAAAAGCTGTAAAACCAAAGTGTGCGTGGCTCTCGCCAACCATGCCAGCCCCAATGGACGCCAGGTGAGGGGAGGGGGCTGAGAATCTCATCTCCTCCAAATCCGAATCGCACATTTTGGTTTTTGATTTCAAGGTTTTTAAAAAGCTAAACCCAGGAGTCCGGCGGGTCCACCTGCACTCAGTGTGTGTCCAGCCTGCCCGCGCCTTGCTCTGGCACCTGGCGTCCCTCAGCAGCGGCTGTGGATCGTGGCTGATGTGTGTCCTCATTCTTGCGCGATGCTCCGCAGCACGTACTTGACCGTGTAGGCGAAGGCTGCAAAGCCCACTATAACAAACAAGTTCGCCAGGGCACCGCCCAGCAGCCCATGGTGGCGGTTGGCCTGCTGCAGCCCGACCAGGTTGGGGCCGGCCCCCGGTGCATGCCCATTGAGGAGTACAATCCCATTCTGGCCGTGGTGTGTCTCCCCGTCTGGAACCACGTCTGGTAAGGGGAGAGTCGGGGGTCTGCCACTGGTATCGTCTTGTGCTTTCTGTTTTTGCTTAATTTCCTAAGAGCAGAACAGCAAGAAAGCAAAAGTTGGTCTAAACAAACCAATTCTTCCAGGACCAGCACATCAGCTCATGGGAGCCCAGGTTTCCTTATCAGGGCCACACTAAGCTCTCTGTCCTACATGTCAAACACTGACCCCACTTTACAAGAGAAGGAACAGAGCAAGTTGCCAAAACCAATAAGCCTGTGCCTCTCAGACTCTGCACTCAGCCAGGTCAGAGCAATGCTGACCCACTAAGGCCTTGACCACCCTGCTGCCCAGTCCCCTCCACACACCGCCATATCCTCTGTTCTGGCACCAAGACTAGGGAGCACCCAGCCCCATCGACGTGCCTCCCAGCAGCCCAGCTGAGGGCAGCTCCTCAGGCTGGCAAGCTCCATGCCCTTGTGTCGGGCACTGCCCACACTCCATCTGCACACAGCTGACCCCGTCCTCTTCCCCAGCCACTTGGCCTTCTGCCTGTCCTGAACTGTGGCTCCTGGAGGAGAGGCCAGACTGCTGCCCATGCCAGAGTGTGTACTGAGAGGCTGCGGCCAGCACAGACAGCCCTCCCTGTTCTGTGGGAGGGTCTGTGGCCCTCTGGTATATCTGCAGCTTGGGGACACACAGGAACACTTGTTTTCTCCTTGGAAAGAATAAAATCTGAGTGTTTTTAGTGCAGGGGAAGTCTGAGCTGATTTACATCTCTTGCTTTCTTACCTCCACCACTTCAGAGAATAATTCACAGAAGACTTTATCTTTTAAATTAAACGCTAAACTTTGTGCTGCCAGTTGTCTTTTCTAGAGAGAAAGAGAAGGGAAATATCAGCCAGAAAGCTAACTTCACCTCTAAAATTCTAGAAACAGATTATTTCAGAGTCAAGGGCTGCTGTCTTCATGTTGTGAAAAGCACTTAAAAAGCTTGCTCCTCACAAAAAACTACCTTATAGTCCTACAAAGACGTATTCATCTTTTCATTATCATCAATATTAAACTTGACTCCTAGGTAAAAAATAGAAAAGTAACAAGCCATCGGGAAGGAATGGCTGTCGTGCTCCTAGTCTGCGAGCCCCTAGCCCTGCCCTCTGCAAAGTCTCCTGAGGAAGAGACCCTGGCAGCGTGGGTAGCGTGTGGATAAAAGCAGGGTCTAGGGGCAGAGGGGGTGGACCAAGGGAGCGCATCAAGAAAGCCCAGAGCAGAGCGGTCTCTACCTTGGTGCCTGGAGACAGGGACCTGGGAGGGAACCGCACGGCTCCGCCTGCTGAGGACAATGGCAGCCGGGTCTCAGAGACAGAAAACAGCCAAGACCCAAGGCACACAAACCTCACCGTAAAGTCAGATGTCTCTATGCTGCCCAGGGTGGGGCCCTTCTCAACCATGAAGCTCAGCAGGCCCGTCAGGATAGTGGAGACAGACCAGGCTGGGTTCCACGTGTCTGGGTGGAAATCCGTGATGGACAGACATAGCCTGCAAACAAGGGGCTTGGTCAGCAGAGTGTACACTCACTGAGGGCCACAGACAGTGGCTGCACGCTGTGGCACTGGGAAGCATCTCACCTCGTGTTGCACTTGAATCTTCCATTGGGAGTTATCATATAGATACTAGGAGGCTTAAAAGGAAATTCTCTGGGAAATATTAGTTTTCCGTGATAATAGCCACCTACATCAAAAAAGAGAAAAGAAAGAGCCTGGTCAGCATCCACAGCGCGGCTCCTCCAAGTCGCGCCACCCCCACCCTAGCTCTCTGCCCCCCACCCTCATGACCCTTCTTGTCCCCATGCAGCCAGCAGGCTCAGCCCAAGACCTCCTCCTTTCTCCCATGCTCACTCGGCCCTACGGCATCTCATCAGCCCAGCACAGGCCCCCACCCTGGCCGTCTCTGGACACTTCTGGGAGCTCATGATGGCCAAACGCCACCAAGGCCACTGCACACCCTCCTCTACCTGCCCCCAGAATAGCAGTCGGGAGAGGTCCTCATCCAGCTGGGGCCACCTCCCACCCAGCCACATGCCAGCAATCCCTACCTTTAAAAAAACATTCTCAACTCCACATTCTCCCATTACTGCCAACAACTCCCTCACCCCTCTGTCTGCGGTTCTCCATGTCCCTCCACGTAACCCTCCTGCACCTCAAGTCCGCCTGGCCAAGCTCTTCCCCCACCGTGGATCACCCACGCCCATGGCCTGGCCCCTCCCTCACTGCCGTTGGCTGGTCGCCCTTATTCTCCCCAGGTGTAGGGTGCTCTCCCCTCTGCCCACTGTCCTCCCGGGTCTCACTCAGGCTCGTGGCTGCTCCTCAACCAGTACCTCCATCCTAGATCTACAGACCCCTCCCCAAACTCTGAACCGGTGTATTGACTGTCCATGAAACACTGGCCCAGATGTCGCTGTCTAAGACGGAATTCCTGCTACTTGCCCCAAAGAGCAACTCCATCCTCTCATTCATTCAGCCTAAAACCTGGAAGGTCCCCATGTCCCCCATGCCACACCCTTCCATCAGCAAACCCTGTCTGCGCCACCTTCAAACCAACCCAGAGCTCACACTCCAGATGACCTCCACTGGACCCTGCCCTGCCGACCCCTCACAGGCCATGTCACGGCAGGCCCATCCCCTCACCCAAGGCCCCACACTCCGGCTGCTCAGGCTGCACCTGCAAGTTGGATGGAAATGCAGAGCTTCAGGCCAACCTGACCAGCTTGAGCAGAAGGTAGGCTCCATGGGACACCCAGCACCCAGCACTATGCGTCCATGTGTTTTCATAGATGAGCACAGCCAGGTTCAAGGAGCACTAGCCTCCCTGCTGCTCCTGCCATGAGGACTATGGACACTCTAGTCCCTGAGTCACCACAGGTCCCCTCTGCTTTCCACCCTGCACAGGGTGCAGCCCATCCCCCAGAGTGCTCATCGTTTCACGTGCCCTCAACACCTGCTCTGAACAGGAGCTGGACCTTCTCACACCAGAAGCAGGGCTCGGTCCAGTTTCCAGTCCTCCACCTCATCCTAGTTCCTCAAAGTGGTTGATCAGACACCTGCCTTAAGCAGCCACCTGCTGGTGACCACTTCCCTATGGGACAGCGACATGTGGCCTGCTGGACTGGCCCGCTGACCCTCACACCCACATGGACAGCCCAGGCAGGCCAGTGTCCACCTCTCAGTCACTGCATGACCCTGTGGAACTCACGCCTCCTGGCTCTGAACCCACCCATTAGAACTCCCCTCAGGAGCCTGCTTGGTAATGCCCTGGACCCCACTAACAGCTTGGCCAGGGGTCCCTTACCCCCATCCTGGTGCTGACCAGGCTCGTGTGGCTTTTAGGCGTGCCATGTTCCCCACAGCCTGTGAGTAATAAAGTCTTTATTTCCATTTTGTCTCTCCCAGTCATCGAAGGGGCGCTCTCCTCTGAAAGACCCTATATTAAAACACTTCTCTACTGTCTGCCTCCCTCAAGGGGCCACGTTCCCAAGCATGGGGATGCTGTGGCTTCCTCTCTGTGCTTCGTCCCCGGGATGGCACTTGTGGACACGGACACAACTGTGGAGGGACAACAAGAGCAAGTGTCGGCTGTAAGGCCAGCAGGACAAGCAGACAAGTCTGCCAGCGAGAGGATCCTACCAGGAGCTGCACTCAGTGCACACACACACTCTAGACCATGAAGAAGTCAGAACAGAAAATGAGCAAAAGACATCCACAGGCACTTTTCCAACAAGAAGCAGGAACAGCTGCTGCACACCTGAGAATATGTTCAGCTCAGCACTTCCAGGGAAGTGCAACTAAACTGGCAAGGAGGAGTGCCATTTCTAGCTTAGCAGAGGGTGGTGGGAGGGCAGGCACCCTCCTGTCCCGCTGTGGGTTGAGCCCACCAGGAAAAGCCTTGCTGACCAGTGATCCCACCTCTTGTTATCCAACCAAGAGAAGCACAGATGAGGGCACAGAGAACCACATGCAAAGATGTTCACGCACCCTGTGTGTGCCCAGTGAAAGACGGGAAACACCCACTTGCCCTTCAGAGGGAAGGAGCCAGGCAGAGCAGGAACATACATGACTCGTGACTTAGAGCAAATTAAATGACAAAAACAGCCAAACTGCAGGACAACACATACGGCAAGTTACTTATGCTAAAATACACAGAAGTGTGCAATTTTCTGCATGCAAAGACGTGTCCTTTAAACTGCAGAGAATAAATTCAGAGAGAGTATGTGTTTAGCATTAGGAGGGCCAGATCTTCACTCAGAGGTCAAAGTGCAGCTCATGCTAGGCACACAACAGGCACACACCACGGGCCTGCGACCCCCACACCCCAACCAGGAATGCAGAGAAACAGGTGCATGATGTCCCCCAAGGCTCCCTGAGGAATGAGCCATAAGCACAGCCTTGGCCAAGCCTGGGGACAAAAACCGACAGAGGGCACCCTGCCAGAGATGCCAACGGCCGCCTGTGGACATCCTATGGCCCCAAACCACTTGTTGAAAAGGCTATGCTGCTCCTCTGAATTGCTTTTGCACCTTTGTCAAAAATCAGGTGGTCGATGGCTGGTGGTTAGTTCAGCTGGCAAGAGTGTGATGTTGTAACACCAATGTCCAGCTTTCAGCTCCCCATACTGGCCAACAACAACAACAAAAAAACAGGTGGCTGCTGTTTCTGGGCTCTCTGTTCTCTGTCTCTCCCTCTATGACCACCAGGTCCCCCTCACTGGAGCTGTAATTTTCATGTAAATTTTAGGATAAGCTGCATGACTACAAGAAATCTTGCTGGGATTTGGACAGGATTGTGTTAAATCTACAAGTTAATTTAGGGAGAATTCTTTAACAACACTTGCACGGGAAGCCAGTTTTGAACTGTTAAGACCAGCAGAAGGAGGGTCATGGCCACCCAGGGCTGAGCTGGACAGACATGGACCCAACAGAGAAGCCACCATGAAGGCAGGGAGGAAGGGTCAAAATACCCAAAAGGCAAAGAGGAGCACATCAGGAAGGAAGTGCTTGTCAATAACATCAGACCTGAGGACTGAGAACAGGCCCCGGGCTGCAGCAACACAAGGGGTTCCTTGAAGACCCCAAGGAGAGCAGTGTCAGCAGAAGTGAGGGGCAGCCCCACATGAGGAGGAGGGGGCAGCCACAGGTGCTGCCTGGTGAGTGGAAAGGGGGAAGGGGCAGAGGAGGGGAGGAGGCATTAAGTTTTTTTTCTCAGAAGGAAGGATTCAGCATATTTGAAGCCTGAGGGACAGGACCAGCAGAGAACCACCAGGAGGGAGAGAAGATGGGCTAAGGACCCTAGAACTGGGGGAAATGGGGGCACAGTACAAGGTGAAGCCCAAGTGACAGTCCCTCGTCCCCATACCCGAACGTCCCACAGTGCTGCCCCTCATCTTCCTACTGCATCCAGCCCTGCCCTGGTGTCTGTCTCAGCTTCACCAGCAACAGCCCTGACTGGTCTTATTGAGGAGAGTGGGGTCTAGTTACAAGATTAACAAATGTTTACTATTTATTTGGAAAATACCAAAACTACAAAGAACAAAAAAAGTTAAAAACCTGGCATAATACCACTTCCTACAGATAACCACTGCACGTTTTTGGTGAATATTCTTTAAGTTTGTTAAAAACACATACACATTTAATAAGTTTTTTTTTTTTTTTTTTGTCTTTTGTCTTTTGTCTTTTTCTGTGTCCGGCAACGGATCGCAACCCTCAGTGTCGCCCCCGTACCGGACCGGGGACCGGCAACGGGACCGCAACCCTTGGTGTTGCTCCCACGCCTCGCTCAGCCAGTGAGCGGGAACCGGTCTGCATGTGGGATCCGAACCCTTGGGCGGGAGCACCGCCGTGCTTCCCAAGCGGCGCACTATCCAGTGGTGTTGCTCCCACGCCTCGCTCAGCCAGTGAGCGGGAACCGGTCTGCATGTGGGATCCGAACCCTTGGGCGGGAGCCCCGCCGCGCTTCCCAAGCGGCGCACTATCCAGTGCGCCACCGGGCCGGCCCTTAATAAGTATTTTTAAATCATGTGTACAAACTGTTTTGCAGACCATCTTTTTTCTTATCTCCAGGAAATTGTCCACAAGGTGACTTCTCAGACGCACGGCTCCACGTATTTCACCTGCACCCTGCTGCTGGACACGCCGGCGGTCTCCACTCTTGTTACTACAAACATTATACAACATGCCCACCCTATAGACACGCTTCTGTGCACTTGCTTCCCTAGGACAGACCGTCCCAGAACTGGAATTCCTGGGCCCAAGGAGGGTCTTCAGGTAAGCCTGGGGATACGTGGGCAAAACCACCTTCAAGAGAGCTTGGCCTTTTTCATTCTTGACCACCCACAACTCTGCCCTGACAGTCAATGGCAGTGGTTTTCAAACTTTCTTCTAGAAGAACTCTTCTCTAGTGAAATCCTAATGCAAAACCTTCTCACATGGGCAGACAAATGCCTGCTGCTCTGGCCAACTTAAGTCAGGACCCACCGCTCCGCCCTGGACTTCCCTGTGGGTCAGTGTCCATGGGTACATGTTTCCTGACATGGCCCAAAATCTGAGGCTGGTGCCATTCTCCCCACAAGGGGACAGCTCTGAAGTCTACCTTGTAAACACCACCAAGGACCCTAGATGGTAGCTGGTGACCTGGAGGAGTCAGGCCACAGAATCAGCTTCAGCAGCAGTTAGGAGAGTTGGGATGCTGGGCAGGTCCTGCAGATCCCCTAGGCCTCAAATGCCCCATCCGCACAAGAAGCCACTGCTTAGCTCAGAGACTGCTCTGAGGATCACAAGATACTGAAAGTGCATAGCACAGAGTAAGCACGTAGATAACAACCTTCACCTTGGTCTTCAGAAATAACAGAAGAAGGGCCGGCCGGGTGGCGCACTGCTATAGTGCGCCGCTTGGGAAGCGCGGTGGCGCTCCCGCCGAGGGTTCGGATCCCACATACAGACCGGTTCCCGCTCACTGGCTGAGCGAGGCGCGGGAGCAACGCCGAGGGTTGCGGTCCTGTTGCTGGTCCCGGTCCGGTACGGGGGCGACACTGAGGGTTGCAATCCGTTTCCGGACATGGAAAAAAACAAAAAAAAAAAAAAAGAAATAACAGAAGAACATGTCTGTGTCTCACTGTCTCCCCACCTGTTTTTCCCAGCCCTAGTCCTACAGATCCTGGAGGCTGGTGAAACACTGGTACTGACAGAGTGTCCCTGAAGGCTTAGACACACTGGCAAAACCAAGCTCTGAGCAAACGCTTCTAGGACTTGGAGAAATACTAGGATGAGTTCCAAGTAAGTCCAATTTAACTAATGCACATCCAAAATAGAAAGATTGTTATTTACAAATAAAGATTGGTTATTTAACAGGTAAGGTCTATTCAGATGTAAAAACTGCCTGTTGTTTTTCTACTGCAAAGCATAACACTTACCTTCATAAGGGGTCATCTCAGGGCCTCGGACAACATAGTGCCTAAGGGAGAGAAAAAAATTACTCAGGGGCCGAACCCGTGGTGCACTCGGGAGAGTGCGGCGCTGGGAGCGCGGCAGCGCTCCCGCCGCGGGTTCGGATCCTATATAGGGATGACCGGTGCGCTCACAGCGCTCACTGGCTGAGCGTGGTGCGGGGGGTCTCAAAAAAAAAAGGAAAAAAAAAAAAAAAAAATTACTCAGGATTTAGGGACAACATATTCTCCAAAATCTGAGTCTCTCCAAGGCCAGCATTAACAGGACCCAGTCAAAACCACGCTCACGTTCAGTTAGTGAACTGAAGGTTCAACAGCAAACAGCAACACGGTCTCAAAACCCTCAGTCTCCAGTGTAGCAGGTGTGTTGGTTACTTTGTGCTGAGATCTTAGAGGGTATATTTTCTAAATTTTCCATGAAGTATTTTTGTTTCCACAGTACAACATGCAAAAAGTTAATCCTAATTATTAACATCAACTGAAACTTTAAAAAAACTTTAATCTCACAGTATATTAAGATGTAGTTGAAAATATGTATTACAGACATAAAAACATAACATATTCTTTGTACCATGCACACAGGCTAAACAGGGCACAGCTAGTGACATGAGGCTGGCTATGTCCCCACCGCCCAACCATCATGTTGATGTTCCTGGAAAAACCAGAGACAATCTTGGAGAAGCTGTCCTCAAGCAGGAGAAGCAGGGACCACCTATGACTGTCCCCAAAGCCAAAGTCCTCACACAGAACTCAACCTCAGACCAGAAGCAGCAGGAATACAGACTCCAAACTCCACTCCCCCATGCAAATAAACAAGGCTTTAGCTTTATGTAAGCAGGTGTTTGGGCTTTATGGGTTCTCAAACAACACAGAAGAGCAGAAAGAAGAAAGTAAAACTAACTAGAAATGCCAGAATCCAGAAACAACCATAAACACCTGGGGACCATTCTTCCAAAGGCCTCCCCACCAGGATATGTATGCGCATCATTTTAACATTGACACTGTCACTGTACAAATGGCTCAGAGCAGAGCACATGACACACCCAGAAACATGCCTTCATTTGTTACTGTCCCAATTACTGTGTCTGACCTAAGAACACCGGGAAGATAAGCAAGTCCTCTTCCTGAGATGGAGCCCAGCAGCCCTGAGGCAGAGATGAGACCCCCTGCACGTGGGGCATTCAGCTCACCAAACAGTCCTTTTCTAGAAAAGCACTCTTGTTCTCAGCTAACGGCACTGAGGCCGTGCAGAAGCATTCTCACAGCAGGCCTGGCTCTGCTGTCACAGGCCAGCTCCCACTACCCTAGCAGATAAGAGGATTCACTGCCCTACACTGTGTGTACAAACAGTGTAGCTTATGCTGGACCCCTGCTCTCCTCTTGAGAGCATGGACATTCGGCAGGCACCAGGCAGAGGGTGCCCACATGACCAGTCCCCAGTAAAACCCAGGGCACAGAGTCTGATGAGCTTCCCTGGTTGACAACATTCCACATGTGCTGTACAACCTTGGTGCTGGGGAACTGACAGTGCCCTGTACAACTGTCCGGGGCAAGGATTCTGGATGTTCACACCTGGCTTCCCGTGGACTTTGCCCCACGTGCCTCTTCCCTCTGCTTGTTTTGCTGTCTTTTCACTGCAATAAATCTTAACAGTGAGTCTTCCAAGCAAACCCACAGATTCATGTGGGGAGAGGTTCCCCACATAGTGAGGATGTTCCATGAGTCAGGGAAGAGGTGAGCCACCCACAGAGCCTATCTCCACATCTACCAACTATGTCCTGGGGGACGGGAGAGCTCTGGTGCCCCACAGAGGCTGCCCACCCCAGGAATGCTCCACTTGCCAGGGTTGGGCCTCCTCCGTAAGCTGGGAAAGGTGAACCTGGAAAGTACTTCTTATTAATTCAGTTAAATCTTTTTTCGCTAGGGCCGGCCAGTTAATTCAGTTGGTTAGAATGTGGTGCTGGAAACACCAAGGTCAACGGGTTGGGATCCCCACACAGGCTAGCTGCCGAAGATAAATAAATCTCTCTTCTCTAGATTAAAAAAAAAAAAAGAGTATTTTTTAAAGATCAAAACATAAAACATCCTTCAGATAAAGAGAAAATGCTTCCTAACACCTCAGCCTTACACTTTATTTCTTTGAAAATCACCAGCAAACCCAGCAGCAGCAGCATTTCCTCAGAGGTATATGTACTCATAACTTCACGTTGCCACAAGCTCTGCCGTGAAATAAACACTTACGAGGCACAGGTCCTCTTGCTGTCAGACCAAGGGTCATAGGTACCCGGCCTGGACCAGTGCTGGGGGCCAGGGTGTCAGGACCCTGGTCCCATCGTGAACTCTCCAAAGCAAAATAGGCTAATTCCCAGTGTCTAGTGAGCCCCTCCTATCAGGGCAGTGGGACAACAGAGAGAGTCTGGAAATACAGTTTCTCCCGTTAAGTGTTTGGCCCGCAGGGTTACATGGTCAACAGCTGTGAACCCTGAATACCCCAAAGCCTCCCCTAAGGACCCCAGGAAGGATTCTCTTTCTAGCCTCAGCCCAAGTCAAGCAGGACTCTGTGGTACCCCTGGCATGCTGTCTGTCCATTGGGAAGAGGAGCAGAGAGTGTCTACAGGCCTCTTGGCATCTACTCACACCTGAGGAGGGTGCAGAGTTTCTCTCCAATGCCACTACCAGGAGCACCAGGCCCACCCACCTGGCCAGCAGAGAACCTGTGTGACAGCAAGATGATGAAGGGTGAACAGTGACGCAGAGCCTTACCATTCAAGAATATTGGAAGGGAGAGGCTCAGCACAGATGTAAGGCACTGGATCCTTCTTAATTCGAAGGTAGTCCTGTTTCAGTCTCTGGGTTGCTGTTGTTGGAGCTCTCTTATTGCTGTTGCTGCTCATCTATTGAAAACAGACGTTTTCATTATAAACAACAAGGGACCTATGACCGCAGCTTTCCATGCCCAGAGGCAGCATCCACAACCACTCACCTCTGCAGTCCATCATCCCTTCATCCCTTCGCAACCAACCCTAATATGCACATCTCATCCCAGACACCCAGAACCACAGCCCATGGGTCACCCTGACTCGACACCCATCCAGGCAGCCACAGGCCCTCAGGATTATCTTCTCCCCCATGCCCTGCCAACACTTTCATTTATGCAGTATACGCGACCAGCACTTAGCACAGATGCCGAGATAAAGAGAACCCTGAAGCCTCACTCCTGTCCTCAAGGAATTTAAATGGGGATAAAGACTTCTCATTTGAAGGGACTTGGGTAGGTTGAAGCCGGCTCCCAAGAGCAACGGTGCACATCTTCCAACTGTGCTCAGTGATGCCTCCCTGACAGAGTGTTCACACCAAGGAAACTGGCAAGCACCTTCACCACCCCCACTTCCACGCCTGTTGTCCAATGGAGCCTCTCTCTGAGGATGGAGATAGAGACTCTGGAGAGACTCTGAGGCACTTGCTCTACAGAGGGGTAGGCATGCCTTCCAGGTAGGAGCTACAGGTGGACAGGCAGAAACAGAAAAAGCATGCATGCCTATCACAGCACTGGTTGCTGTATTAGGAGCCCACACACAGTGAAGGGTAGGGATGGGACTGGCAGGGGAGGCAAGGCCAGGTCAGCACGCAGTGCCCCAGAAGGGTTTTAGGTCCAAGCCTTCTTCTGTTAGAAAGGTCACTCTGGTACCCTGGCATAGGACACACAAGACAGCACTAAAGGCTGGGGATGGGGAGTGAGGTGGCACCATCTTTCAAGAGACGAGACTGGATCAGGGGACCCTGGGACACTTCAGCTATGTTCCAGAGGCTGAAGAGAGGGATGGTGATGGGCAACATAGGGCTCCTCACTGCCGCAGACATCAGAACAGCTCCAACTCAATCTCTTTTATATACTGGGGTTTCTCATAATTTAAAATGGAAATGCAAAAAAGTTCTGTAGCTAAAAATAAAGTGTGAAAACCACCAGTCTAAAACATGACAGAGAACACAAGGGGCCATGCAGGGATGGAGGGGAAGCAGCAAGATGGGCATCACTTCCTGGGCTGGAAGGGGCAGGCTGGGCGTGGGCAGCGAGTGGGCGGTGGCCACACCTGCCCGACACCATCAACCCTGATCTGCCCACTGCAGCCCCGCCACATCCCCCACACCAGGTCTCTCCTCCTCCGACACCAACACTGCAACACACTGTTCCCCACCCATCTCACATAGTCCTCTCTGGCCCAACATTTTAATAATGGCCCTGGACATCAGTGGCCAACAATAACAGCCAATGATCTTCATCCTGACCTCCCAGTCCATACAAACCTGAAGCCAACCCCACCCCAGCCTCAGGGCCTTAGCTCAGCAGTTCAAGTTCACTGTGGACGTCCACCCGCTCCTTCACCACTACCTGCACACCATCCCGGGTCTCTGCCCACACATCATCTCTTCAGGGAGGTCTCCAGACTCTTGACCCCCGGCCTGGCTTATTTGTCCTTGGAGTACCATCTCCGCCAGCCTGCTCAGTGTCTGCCTCCCCTAAACCGGTTGGGTCCTTGTGATGACACTCCGAACCGCCTGGGCCTGCAAGTACCCACAGTGCAATGCCCTTGCACGTGGCCTCAGCAACAGTGCCCATGCTGATTCTCGTTCTGGGGTCCCGGGCCTTGCAATCCTTGCTCACCACTTCCTGCCCATTCCTATTTTGCTAACCCTAATGCAGGACCCTGGTACTCTTCCTGTCAACTACCATGACAGCCTCCAAACTTCTCCACTTGGTACAGAAGGTCTCCCAGCGTCCAGTCTCTTCCCATTTCAGTCCACCTTGCACACTTAAGTCAATGCACAGTTCTGATCGTCCATTCCCCCCAACAGCCCTTCGGTATTTTCTCACAATCAAGCAAATAAACGTCAACACCCCCCACCTGCCAATCCTTTGACAAAGCAGCCCCAGCTGGCCTTCCTAGTTCCCCACTCGCAAGGCCCCTGATACAGCCCAAGCTCCAAACCCCTGAGTGACTCACCCACCCCTTCTCATGGCTGCCTCCCAGACCAGTCTCCATTGGTGGAAAACTCACCAAGCCCCTTCCTGGCTTAGCTTGAGAGCTATGTCCTTCAGAGGCCTCCCGGATTTCCTTAGTCGATATCTTCCACCCTGTCCTTCACCACCAGCCTCCGCACAACCGAACACCTCACCACGCAGGGGCCTTTTGGGCCCCTGCAGAGGTTAGGGTGGGCTCCTCTGACGGATCCTCCCCAGAAGTGTCCCAACCAGGAGCAGGGTTACAGTCCTGCTTGAGAAGGCAGTGCTTCCACACAACACCGTCCCCAAGCTCCTGGCTCCAGAAGTCAAATGAGCAAGGGAGCTCGCCTCGGACCAACATCTAGTAACAAACAGCCACAATCCACAAGGAGAACCAACACACAAGACTTGTTTCTCTTAAATGTTCACCCTAAAGTTAACAATCCACCATACACAAAATAATCCACTGGAACACAAGTGTTAGACTTAGCTAAATGACCAAATTGGTGCTTAATCAAAGTTAGTGGACAGCCACACACAAAAACTTAAAATAGCCCCTGCCTGATCTGTCACGAGCAAACTTCTCTCTCACACTTGCTTTTAGAGGCATAATCTTTTAAATCATATTTACGACTCCATTACTCAGTCTCCCCACGTACCCCTTCTTTGCCTCACACAGAATAGTGCTCTCATGTTCCTCCAGGGGAGTTCAGGTGACCGTTTCTCCTAATTCTCCCCATCCAATGGGGACAGCAGGAGAGTAGGGAATAAAGAAACACAAGGGAATCAGGATGTGAAAACAGAGCGTTACGTGTATGTGCTTCAGACTCCCCTCAAACAAGTCCCCATAAACAGAGGACACGTCGAGGTGTATTATACTGAACAAAAGAGTGTAGACAGTTCAAATAAAATGGCTTGGATGAAAAACATTCACACAGAGAAACTGAAGGAAAGCAGCCTGAATCACCATCAAGGACACCGTGTCTTCGTGCTGAGGTGGTGATCGAGGTGTATTATACTGAACAAAAGAGTGTAGACAGTTCAAATAAAATGGCTTGGATGAAAAACATTCACACAGAAAAACTGAAGGAAAGCAGCCTGAATCACCATCAAGGACACCGTGTCTTCGTGCTGAGGTGGTGGCTGCCCAGCATCCATTCACCTTGTTCTCTTTTTCTGTGGACCTCTGTCTTCTGCTCTGAGCACGTGCAACTCAAGTGATGTTGTGGCATGAGACCTGGGCCTGACCGATCAGATGGGCACGGGACACACCCAGGCCAGGACTTCCACAGAAGCCTCTCCCTTCTCCACCAGGATTGCTTCACAGGTGGGACGGACGCACAGAGCTGATGGAGGCACGCACCTGCCTGAGAATGGAGCTGCCACTGAGGTCAGCAGTGCTACACTGTGCACTGATTACTACTGACTGCAAGTTCTGGGCACCCCGACCAACAGTGCCTGAAGTCTGTGTGCTAAACTTTTCAGTTAGGTGGGACGATTAGGTTCCTTTGTTTTGAAGCCAGATCCGACCAAGGGTCATTCACCGGGAACAAAGCCCTGCCTACAGATAAGCTTGTCCCTTAGCCGTTGCCCCGCTGGGCTGCAGCCTCACCTCTCCTGAGCTGTCTCATACCTGGGTCTGGCAGAAACCTGGGAACTGAACTTTTAACTAAATGCATACCTGCTCAGTGGCATGCACTGAGAAAAAGGCCGGAAAGTTACACCCGCTCAAAGGTCGAGGTGGAGCCGGTTAACTGGCGCAGGGCAGGGACTAGCTCCGACCCCAAGTCCCGCTCTGGCCCCGCGGTGGAGCCGACCCTGGCGCCCCGCTCTCGCCGCCTTGATTGTTCTCCCGTTACACGGCCCCAGAAGCGTGACCCTGGGCGCTCGTTTCTGCCGGACTCGGGAGCGGTCTGAGGCTCCAGGTGTCCGGAGGTCAAGCGGCGGCGGGCTCGACGGCCGCCACCCCCGACGCGGGCTCCCCGGGAGCCTCTACGGCCAAGATCAGTGCCGGCTCGTCCCGGAGGTCTCCGCAAGTGTCCCAACTGACCGGAGGCTTCACGGGGGCGACCCTGCCGTGCGGCCACGCGAGTCCCCAGACTAGCCGGTGGACCACGACGGCCCGGAGCC